AAAGGGAGATTTATAGTTGTTGGGTGTTGGCTGAATGACAGATGTTTGTAGCTACTTTGTCTAATTTAAACTTCACATAGACTTGATAACGTATTTAGTTATGATGTTCAGGTTGGTAAATTGTGCCTTTGGGAGGTTTAAGTAACTTGCCTGAGGTCAGTCACCCAGGCGTTAAATAGTACAGCAAAAAGTCCAATTTTGATTGGCTTGAAATCTTGGACAAAGCAAGTAATTCTACTTTAACTTAAAAAGGTACTTAGCTACACCCTCCCCCCCCCAAAAAAAAATCACTGCAAATCAACTGTGAGGCCATATCTGGTTTCTGCTGGAAGACAGGTTCTTATTAACCTTGATAGGCAGTAGTAAAGAGTTAGAGAGACCTGGGTTCAAGTGTTGGCTTCTGTGTTTAACTATCTGTGTCCCTGGGTCTCAGCTTCATCGACAAAACGAAAATAATGACATCACTTACCTTCTGGGGGCGTTAAGAATAAAATGAGATAATTTATGTTAAGACCTTAATATAAAGTACCTAGTACTATGAACTACTCAGTAAATAGTAAGTCTATTATTAGGATAGGCATAATCTAGGTATGTCGCACACTGTTGAATGCCATCTTGAAAGTCTCCCACAAAATGTCCCTTGATATCAAAGGCAGAACACTGCGTCAGACTGACCACAGATCTCAGGCGCTACAACGCCTCCGCCCCCTTTACTCTCCGATGTCGCAGCAAAATAACCGGCGAGTAGGGATAGGGAAGCAACATCCAATACCATTTTTAAAAAAAGGTTCCGATTTAGGGGCCTCCAAGGGCCCCAAATCACCATATGTGCCCCACAGACTCAATTTCTCCATTTCTCGTCCACAGGGGTAAGACAGCATGCAAGACTAGAGATGGGGGTGGGGCAGACACATGGGTGTTCCAGCAGAAACCTATTCGTTCTCCCTATGAAACTCTCCACCCCAGGGATGAGGCGATCTGAGTGCGAGAGGGAGTGGTACCAGGCACCATGCAGTAAAGGCACACGGGTCAAAAGGCGAGGATCAGGGACGAGGGTGGCTGGGTAGAGGGGAGGAATAGAGTGGGGAACCCCCAGCGCACCCCGCCATACCTACGCACACTGAAAGTCTGTCCCGCTCTGGACACAAACGAGCGCAGACGGGAGGAAGAATACGAAGCGCTCGGCAAACAGCAGTTGTCACCTCAGACGCGTCCAGCCCGTCTTGATTCTGCACTCTGCAAAACTACAACCTGCCACCCAGAGCCACCCAGAGCCGGTTGCAGCACGCCGACCTACGTAACCCCAACCCAGCGCGAGCACTAAGCAGATTTCGCCATCTTTATTGTGGTCACAGATGGGCTTGTCCTTTCTGGGTTCTTTAGTCTTCAAAGATACATGCCTCCAGGGTCTTTGCTAGTCTTCTGATCTCCAGTCGAGGCAGGAGAGGGAAAAGGCGATGAGGGACAGTGTCCCACCAGCTTTGCCACAGAGCCCTCACCCTCACGACGGCCCTCACTCAAGATGGCCACCAGCAAAATGGTGCAATGACGTCAGGGCGCGGCCTCGATTGCCCAGGCGACGCGAATACCGGAAATGCAGGACGAGGGGAGGGCGCGCGCGCAAAGGCCGTAGGCGAGAGGCCGGGCGTCACAGGTCCTGACAGGGAAGAAGTAGACAGGTCCTGGCAGCGGAGAGCAGTGGCTACGGCGCCTCCCGATCCAGTGGGATGGAGTTGCGAATCTCAGACGCGCGGGCTGACGAGACGGAACTATCCGCAGGAGGGGCCCCAGCTACAGGCGGCGCCGCTCGGGGACCCGCAGTCTCGGTGCCCCTGGGAGCCGCCCGGTGGAAGCTCCTGCGGCAGGTAAGGGAGAGCCGGCTCGCCTCACCTTTACCTTTGGCCACTCCTCCAAAAGGTAGCGGAGCGCCCGGTCCTAACGCTCTGTCCTTGGTGGCTGTAGGAGTTCCTCTCAGTCCGCTGGGAGCCACCGGAGAAGCGCCCCCTCGCTTCCCCTGAGCGTCCCCTCGAAAAGGAGGAGTCAGGTGGGGGTGGCGGGGAGGGGGCAGCCCTGAGCTCCGGGAAACTCAAGTCCAAGTGCGAGACCCATTTCTAGACGTTCGTCAGCGTCGGCGGAATTACCCCCTCGCTCGCCATTCTGATTGGTGGGACCGCAGCTCCCCTCCGCGTCCCGCTCTTTTTCCTGCTTCAGTTTTGCCTTAGTCCTTACGTTTCTTCTTGCTTCCTAAGTAACTCCCAGCCTGGTTGTCCAACGGCTCTCGGGGGTCGGCGTGTCGCCTGTGGGGACTGAGACAGAGCACGCCTATAACGGAGCGCGAAGGGAGCCGGGAGCGCTGCCTCTCACCGGGATATGAACCTAATACGTGCTTAGCTTGGAGCTTGCAGTGATCAGCGAGATTCTCGGTGTAAGGTGGTCTGGTCAGAGTGTGCTGGTTTCTTTGTTTCAAGGTGACATCTTCTGGTGCTTCGAAGTTGCTTCTGTTTCGGATGGCTTCTCTGCTGTGCAAGTTTGACAGAAGTAGAGATTGGTGGATCTCGGACAGTGTTCAACTGCTTGAAGTCGCTTTTGTTATTACATTCCAGAGTTATGCCTCTGCCTGAGATTTCATGATGGAGACTTTACTTAAAAAGGACATTTTTTCATTTCTTACTGTTGTTTTTGGAAGTTTCCCAGCTGTTACTACCTTACTTGAGATTGTGCTTTTAAATATTTTGGGAGTTACTTGTTTGTACAATAGTTGTCTCCAGTCGCTATGGAGTGGCCTTTTAGTGCTGTTATGACACAACTCATTGGAAGTATGAATTAAGTAGATCTTCAGAGTTAAAGATAATTCTTTGCTGATGCGTTGACAATCTTTACGGAGCATTAATTATCTGATTATAGTATTGATGTTACAAAGTTGGGTTGTCACAAAAGTCCTGACTTTTTTTTTTTTTCTTCATAGTATTATAGGATAATAAAATCCTATCCTTATAGATCTTCATAGGAACTGTGTATAGTGAAGTAAACGTCTGTTAAAATAGAAATATTAAGGCTGGCAGGTAGAGTGGTGGTTAGGGTGCTGGATTCCCCCAGAGTTGACCATAATTCGACTACCAGATCTGGCAGCTTGTTTTTTCACTTTGTCTCTCTCAGGTCAAATTAAAAAATAATGATAAATAAAATTAAATAAGTGATTATTTTAAAAAATTGAAAGATCAAAGTAGTCATTTAGGCCCTGAAATTAATAAATTCTTCCTGTATGAGGGGTCCTCAAAAAGTTATAAAAAATATGTATTATGAGAAAACTATGCATGGATTTCATTTTTCTTTTTTTTTGCATCACAATACACTTGTACTTTACTTAAGTTTATTTATTCTTTCAATAGCAAGAGACAGACAGGCTTCCCCAATAAGGTCTTACTGCAATCCACCCCCAGCTTCAGCCAACCCTAGATGGTAGGCCTATTTAGGGAGGTCTGTGGTCCCAAACCTAGAACTTATGTAGATCAGCCTTGCAAAAGCATGCATTACAGCTATGCTGCCATTTGTCCCCGAAACTGGTACTTTAATTCCATTTTCCCACAATTTTATTTTTCTCCTTGAAGGAGAATTTTAATCACCAGGAGATACATGTGCTTCTCAGATGACAAAAACAGAGACAGGAAGAACCCCCTCCCCCCAATGGGGCATGGTCACACTGCAATCCTTCCTTCATTTCTCTATTCCATCAGGGTCTTGGTCTCTCACACCCAGTGTGTTTTTCAATTGCTGGGGCTAGGACTTGAGGTTAACCATGTGGGATCTGATGGGACTGACTATCCACAAACTTTTTGAAGTCCCTTTCTATCTCTTGCAACACATATTGTCCTCTTTTGTTGTCCTAAGACATGACTTCAGTGATTCTTAGTACAATAAAAACTCAAGTTACCAAAACTTAGGTGGGTAAGTGTTTGTAGTCAGGGCAGTGTCAAGTTTCAGTTCTAACTGTTGTATTTCCTCCCCACAAACTTAATGTTTTGGTGCACATATGCCTGCTGTCTTTTTATCATTTTTCTTTACTTGATGAATGACTATCCTTTGCACCTCCATTCTTTTCATCTCCTTTACTGCGAAGTCACCCCAAATGCCTGTGGCCTAATTTAGCTGCAGCCCAATCTATCATTGAATTCCTTTCATATTGTTTTATGGTCATTTAATCAGAATCTTTCTCAGTAGAAGAGAATTCTTCCTGAGAAAAGGTGCTGTTTTATTAATTTCTATCATCTGTACCTAGCACAGGGCCTGGTTTATATTTTTTGAGAGATTTTTGCTATAGGGCGTGTGCACTTGCTAGAATGACAGACAGACAAAAAGCTAGAAAGCAAGAAATCACTCACTGCGGGTGGTGGCCATGCCACAATTCCCTCTCTTCCATTCTCCTCTTGGGATTTTGGGCATGCATGCACATGTTCCCAGCATGAGTTTCAAGCTGCGCAGTTTGGGACTCAAACCATAGTTGACCACGTGGGACTCTAGGGCCCTACGTAACCACTACGCCACCTGCTGGCCCCCAAGCCAGGTTTTTTTTTTTTTTTTTTTTTTTAGAATTATTTTATTTAGCGTTATTTATTTATTTATTTATTTATTTTAATTTGACCAAAGAGGGACAGTGAGAGAGAGGGAGAGAGAAAGTGAGAAAGCAAGCCACCAGGTCCAGGACTTGAACTATGGTTGGCCATGTGGGAGTCCAGTGCCCTTAACTACCATGCCACCTGTCAGATCCCAAGGCTAGGTTTTTAATGATACTATTACTTGTTTATGAAAAGCCTGAAAGCAAAGACCATCTTTAAGTAGTACTTAGTCCTTAGCGTGATTGTATGAATAGTGATACCTATTCCTTAGCATAGCGTATCAGTTAGCTACTGCTGTGTAACATGCAATCAGTATATATTGGTGCAGATGGGGACCACCTGGGATTCTATTGCCATAGGGTGTTCTCAGCTGAATGGTTCTATGTTGCATGCTATATGTAGACACATGCCTCTAATCTTTGGATTGGGTGGTTTACCTGTTCTCGTGATGGCAGAGGTATAAGAGAGCAAATCCAATCAAGGAAAGACTTTTTAAACTGCTGCTCATGTCATGTTGACTAACATCCTATTGGCCAAAGTAAGATACGTGGCCAAACCCAGAAGTCCAGGAGCAGGGAAGTATACTTGCCCCCTGGAGGTGGCAAGGGGGAAGTGAATATTTTTTTATAAGGAATCTAATCTATTACATATATTAAGTTTTTGCATGCTTTTAATAAATTATGTTTCAAATGAATGGACCATTTGCATCTTAATATGTATCCAGAACAGGAAAGTTATGAGGAATTTAAGCAGTGCTAGCGATAATGTGACTCCTTTTCTCTTTCATGTCAGACCAGTTCATGATATTTGCTTCCATCAACTTTTCTCCCTCAGAATTCTTTCCATTATGCTATAGGGCTCCAATGCTCTCTTATGACCATTGACATAACTGCTTGATATTTTCTGTGTTTTATAATTCACAGTTTTGAAGAAAACCTAGTTGACCTAGTTCATGATTTGTTTCATGATAGATTGCTAACAATGAAGCTGGCGTGTACTAAGATAAGGCCTGGAAGGAAGTCTGAGTTAAAATCAATAGAAGCTGTGGATGTTGTTTTTTTTTTTTTCTTTTTTTTTTTTCTGTTTGTTCTTATTACCTGATGGCAAAGATGGCCATTGACAACTCCAGGCTTTTATCATATACTCAGCCAGTGATCTAGAATAAATGATCCTTTTTGCAGACATACAAATAATTTTCTCAAAGGACTATAATAGGCCAGGGTTGAACTAATTGTTGGGTCCAGGAGTATAGGGCACCTTGTCTACTCTGCATCATCAACCCACCTGTGGCAGGGTAAGTAACAATCCAAGATTGTACAAACTGAAGGAGGGGTAGTTCTCAAAAGGATAGATAAAGTAACAGTGACCATTATTATGGAGAGAGACAGAGACAGTGAGAGGGAAAGTGAGAAGTCAACCCCTGAGGGGCATGACCATGCTTCGATCCTGTCTCCTCCCAGGATCTTAGGCATGCACATGCGCTCTGCATGCCTAACAAGCCACTGGGTCTGGAATTTGAACCATGGTTCGCCATGTAGGAGTCCAGCAATGTAAGCATTATGCCATCTGCTGGTATCAACCATTATTATTAATAACACATGTATATTGATAAACACCTACAAAGTGAAAACTTTTGCCTAGAGGTCTGAATACTTGGCTGAAGAATCTAATGGAAATTTCATAATACAATTTATATTAAAGCAGAATGCTATATGTTTGAGACTATCATTGTTTAAAGAAAACTTGATTTTGGAATAGAATTTTATGTAACTGCTTTTAGGTCCAGATCTGTCCTTAACTATTTGCATGATGGGTAGGAACCTCTTTGGACCTGTTTTTTCATTTGTAAGTGAGGGAGTTCGGAGCAGATTTCTTCCATCTCTGATTACTTAAAATGCATTATTTCACAGAGCTAAATATCACTTCATTTTATTTATGTTTTAAAGTTGGATAGTGAGTTTATTTCTGGATTTTCTGTTCTATTGGTTTACCTGTCTGTTTTTGTGCCAGTGCTATGCTGTTTTGACTGTCACAGCTTTGCAAATGTTTTGAAGTCGAGTAGTGAGATGCTTCCTACTTTATTCTTTTTGCACAATATTGCCTTGGTAATACAGGGTCTTCTATGTTTCCAGACAAATTTCTTGATTATTTTTTCTATGAAGAATGTTGCTGATAATTTGATCAGAATTACATTGAATCCTGGGGAACCAGCAGTTAGCGTAATGGCTATGTCGCTGGACTCCCACGTAGTCAACCGCGGTTCGCGTCCTGGACCCGGTGGCTTAAAACTCACGCCAGTCGCGTGTGCGTGCGTGCCCAAGATCCCGAGAGGAGAATGGAGGAGAAGGGATTGCGGCGTGACCATCCCCCCTGGGGGGTGATTTCTCACTTTCTGTCTCTAAGTCTCTCTCTGTCTGTCTGGCGAGCGCATGCGCCCTATAGCGAAAACCTCTCAAAAAAAAAAAAAAAAAAAGAAAAAGAATTACATTGAATCCTGCAAATTGACATTTTAATTATATTCTTCTAACCCAAGAACAGAAGATGCCTATTTTTCTATATCATATTCAATTTATTTTTCCAGTTTTTCATAGTTTTCTTCATGGAGGTCTTTCACATCTTTGGAAAGGCTTATTCCTACAATTTTTTTTTTTTGAGAGGTTTTTTGCTATACAGTGTGTGGGTTTGCCAGAGAGACAGAGATGGCAAGTGAGAAATCACTCCCAAGGGGGATGGCCATACCACAATCCCTTCACTGTTCTCTCGTGATTTTAGGCATACACACGTGCTTGGTCTAAGTTTGAAATCACTAGGTCCAGGACCAAACTGCAGTCAGCCATCTGGGCCTGGACCCCGATTTTTTTTTTTTTTTTGCTATAGGGCGCGTGTGCTCACAGAAAGACAGAGACAGAGAGACAGAAAGTGAGAAATCACCCCCAAGGGGGGATGGCTACGCTGGAATTCCTTCTCCTCCATTCTCCTTTTGGAATCTTGGGCACGCACGCACATGCACCCGGCGTGAGTTTAAGCCACTGGATCCGGTTGACTACATCCAGCGACATAGCCGTTATGCCAACTGCTGGTCCTGGTGTCTATTTTAAATGAGATTGTTTTCTTCAGTTCTGCCTGAGTCTGCTCATTGTTGGTGTTTAAAACGCTATAGATTTTTGCTTATTGATTTTGTTTTCTGCTACTTTACTGAATTTATTCATCCACTCCTAGGAATTTTTTTCATGAATTCTTTTGAATTTTCTCTGTATATAATCATGCCATCTGCAAATCGTGACAATTTTACTTCTTTCCTATTTGAATGCCTTTTATTTAATCTGATTGCTTTATTGTGTTATTTAGGACTTCTAGTACTATGTTTAAAAGGCACGTAGAAAGTGGACAACCTGGGGCCAGTAGATGGCACAATGGTTATATTCCTAGACTCCCACATGGCTGACCGGTTTGAGTCCTGGACCTGGAGGCTTGAAACTCATGCTGGGTATATGTGTATACATGCCCAAAATCCTGAGAGGAGAATGGAGGAGAAGGGATTGAGGGGTGGTCATTCCTCCTGGGGAGTGACTTCTCACTTTCTGTCTGTCTGTTTCTCCTGTAAGTGCAAGCACTCTATAGCAAAAATCTCTCCATGGGGAAAAAAAAAGTGAAAAACCTTGTGTTTTAGTTTTTAGTGATAAAGCTTTCGGTTGCTCCCCCATCGCTATTATGTTAGTTAGGAGTTTGTCACATATAGCTTATATTATACTGAGAAATGTACCTTTTATATCTATTTTGTTGAGAGTCTTATTAAAATGTATTACTTTAAATTGCGTTATTTCACAGAACCATGAAGGCATGCTGCATTTTATCAAATGCATTTTTTGCAATAATGATATAATCTTTTTCTTTTTTTTTTTTTTGAGAGATTTTTGCTATAGGTACATGTGCTCTCTGGAGACACAGAGAGAACAAGGAGAGACAGAGAGACAGAAAGTGAGAAATCACCCCCCAGGGGGAATGGCCATTCCACAGTCCCTTCTCCTCCAGTCTGCTCTCGGGATTTGGGGCATGTCCAGTGTGTTTTAAGCCACCAGGTCTAGGATTCGAATTGTAGTAGACTACTTGGGAGTCCAGTGACATAACCATTACATCATCTGCTGGTCCCGATCATATGGTTTTAATGTTTTCTTCCGTTAATGTGATCTATTATTGTTTTGAGCATGTCAAATTATCCTTGCATCCCTGAGATAAAGCCTACTTGGTCATGGTGTATAATCTTCTTAATGTACTGTAGGATTCAATTTGCTAACATTTTGGTGAGGATTTTTGCATCTGTATTCATCAGGGATGAAGATCTGTAGTTATCTTTTTGTTTTATCAAGGTGATGAAGGCTTCATAGAATGAGTTTGGGAGGGTTCCTCCCATTTGGCTCTTTAGAAATGGAGAATTGGGGGGACCAGCAGTTGGCGTAATGGCTTTGTCAGCTTAAACTCATGCTGGGTGCGTGTACGTACGTGCCCAAGATCCCGAGAGGAGAATGGAGGAGAAGGGATTGTGGCGTGGCCATCCCCCCCCAGGGGGTTGTGATTTCTCACTTTCTGCTCGCTCGTGGGGGTGCATGTGGCCAATAAAAAAAAAAAAAAAAAAAAAAAAAAAAGGGAGAATTGGGGTTAATTCTTTGAAAGTTTTATAGAGTTCAGAAGGGAAGCCATTGGGACCTGGGTTTTTCCTTGTTGGAAGACTGTTTATTACTAAATCAGTCTCATTGCTTGTTATTGATCTTGCCAAGCCTTCTATTTCTTCCTAGTTCAATCTACGCTTATTGTATGTGTTCAGAAATTTGTTCATCTAGGTTTTCTAATTTGTTCGTATTTAGTCTTTTGTAGGATTCTCTTACAATCTTTTGCATTTCCGTGATATCTGTCATAGTATTGTCTTTTTTAATTACTGATTTTATTTATCTGGTTTCTTTCTCTGTTTTGGCTGATGTAGCTAAAGGTTTGTCTACTTTGTCTTCTCAAAAAAACTAGCTTTTTATTTCATTGATTTATTTGTATTGATCTTTAATTCTCAGTTTCTTTTACTTCTCTAATCTTTATTACTCCTTTTTTTCTAGTACTTTTGGGATTTGTTGTTGTTGTTCTGGTTTCTTTTTTTTTCTTATTTTATTTTCTTCTTATTTATTTATTTATTTTTTTTGAGAGGTTTTTGTGTAGGGCGCGTGCGCTCGCCAGACAGAGAGAGACAGATTGGCAGAAAGGGAGAAATCACCCCCCAGGGCAGATGGCCACGTCGCAAACCCTTTTCCTCCACACACGCCCGGCGTGAGTTTTAAGCCACCGGGTCCGGGACGCGAACCACGGTCGACTATGTGGGAGTCCAGCGACATAGTTATTATGCTAACTGCTGGTCCCTGTTCTGGTTTCTTGAGATGTATTATTAAATAAGGCTGTTTATCTCCTATTTTCTGTTTTTTTTCTTTTTTCTTAAGAGTACTAATTGCTATAAACTTCCCTCTTAGGACTGCTTTCACAGTGTCCCCAAGATTATAGAGAATTATGTATTCATTATCATTGGTTCAATAATTTTTATTTCAGTCTTAATTTTCAATAGTTTTGAAGTCATTCAGAAGTAAATTGTTTAATTTCCATGTTTTTGTGTAGTTTTGAAGTCTCCTCTGTTGTTGATTTCTAGTTTAATCTCATTATAGTCAGAAAAGTTGCTAGATACAGATTCTATACTTTTTAAAGAATCATTTCTTTTATTTTATTTATTATTGTTATTATTTTAATTTGCTACAGGACACAAATGCTCACCAGAGAGAAGGAAAGAGAGAAAGTGGGAAAGTGAGAAAGTAAGATGCGTAGTGTGGGATTCGTACTGCAGTTGGCCATATGGGAGTCCAGCAGCTCAACCACCATGCCACCTGCTGGCCCCCATACTTTCAAGTTTTTAAAGACTTTTTTGGTGCCTAATTATGTGGTCAGTTTTCAAAAATGTTCCATGTGGGTCTGAGAAACGTGTGTGTTTTGTAGTTGTTGGGTGAAGTGTTCTATAAATGTTTGCCAGTTCCATTTGGTTTATGTTATCATTTAGCTTCTGTGAGTCTTTGTTTATTTTTTGTCTAGATGCCTTGTCCAGTGGTGACAGTGGGATGTTGAACTATCCAACAATTGGTGTATTTCAATCTATCTCTTTATTTAGATCTAACAGATTTTCTTTCACATATTTGGGTGTCCTGGTGTTAGGTGCACAAATATTTATAATTGCTTTATTTTCTTGGTGAATTAATCCTTTTAATACTATATTGTGTCCTTCTTTGTTTCTTTTTACAGTTTTTATCTTGAAGTTTATTTTGTCTGATATTAGTAGTGACTCCTGCATTTATTTTTGTCTGTTTCTATTTGCATGAAATGACTTTTTCTAGCCTTTTATTTTCAACTCAGCTCTTTAGGCTTGTCTCCTTTTTAAGATATCAGACTGGTTAATCTTCACTGTCTTTGCTCTCTGATGTCTTTAATTTGCCAGAGAGTACATGTACTCAATGTGGAGAGAGAGAGAGAGAGAGAGAGAGAGAGAGAGAGAAAACACTCCCTACGGGGGATGGTCATGCCACTTTCATTTCTCCTCCATTTCTCCCTTGTTTTTGGGATTTGGGGCTCTTATGCCCACATGCCCAGCATGTTTTTCAACCTACCAGATTTGGGATTCAAACCACCCAGTCAGCCATGTGGGACCTAGCACTTTAATGACCATACCTACTCTGGTATCTTTAAGTAAAATTTTAAAATATTTTACCCATCTTTCCTAGTTGTCTCCAGTAAAAAATTGGTCTAAATGATCAAATCTGATATACTGGAAGTGAAAACATCCCCTTAGCACTTACATTTTGAACATTTAACATGATACATTTATAAAAATGACAACAATATTTGCTTTTATTTCAAAGGTTCTGAAGCGAAAACACCTGGATGATTGTCTGCGACATGTGTCTGTAAGAAGATTTGAGTCATTTAATCTGTTTTCAGTAACAGAAGCCAGAAAAAGGAAAAATGAAGAGGAGGTTGATGCATGGGTGCAATATACAAGCATCTTTTATCCTGAATACAGTATCTCCTTAAGGTAACCATTATTCTAGTTAATATTTTCTAAACTAGTTTTCTCTTGTAGAAGAAAAACTATTAAGAATCTGATTTGCAACCTTGTATTAGAAAATAATGCTACTTCAACTGGGTCCTGCTGTTTTGTCAGAATAAAGAATAAAAGTCCTCAGAAGTATAGTGGCATTGAGGATAAAATGTGTTGCAGATGGAAGGATTCATTTAACTACTCTCTCATAACATCTGACTATGACAAAAAGCCAGGTTCCTTTGGGGCAAAGAAGGAAGAAAGTGAAAACAGAATTTTTTCAAACTACTCTCCAAGTGGTACTTTTCTGAAAAATCAAGTTTTGGTATTTTTTTATTCATGTTTTGTCACTTTCAGAATAGAATGTTAAGAATAGGAAGAGAAGATTCATCTGGAAACACTGACATTGTGAGAAGATATAGACTGTTTCAGCTTTAAAAATCATTAGAAGGGAGACTAGAGAGTTGCAAACTGAAGTAATAAGATACCACTTTTACTGAATTAATTTTCTCTAGGTTATATTCTGGCATGTGGCAATATTACTGTAGGTGTTTGATTTTACAAAATCTGCCTTTTCTGACAGGATTTCACATTTTGAAAGGGAGGGAGGAGCACATTTACAGTAACTGTAAGAAGAGCAAAAAACATTTTAAGTGGAAATGTGACTGAATAGGGTTTAAGTGAGGCTAGGAATCATTTTAGGAAAAAATGTTCACAAAGAATGTCTATTTATAGTCTGTATTTCTTAAACTATTTTAATCTAAAATATGTAAGCTTTAAAAGATGCCATGATAGTCTAAAATTTGGGAAGAACTATTAGTATCTGGTTTTATAGTATTGTTTAATTGACAATGCCCAGTAAAAGATACAGATTTAGGGATTTAAGAGCTTGCCTATACATTCGTTATAAGACTCTAATTAGAATACCCCAAATGCCTTACATCTAGTAGGAATAATCAGTTTAGTCCTTGATTAGGAAGAAAAGTGCATTAAATGCTTATTATGTTCAGAGCTTGGTGCTTTGATGTATTCTATTTCATATAATCCTTACAATAAACCCATGAAGTAGGAATGAAGATGATTACACTAATAGAAAGATAGTATGTGTAAGGAAATTAAAGAGAAGGACAAACTGAGTGATCCAGTTCAAAACTTACCTTCTACATCCTTTGGTGACAAGAGGCAATAAGTGTAATTGTAGCAAGAATCATTTCCTAACATCTCTAAAGCCCGGTAAAGGTTAGCCAGGGAAAATGTGAAATATTCTATTCTTGAGGTCTTTCAAATAAGTCATGGTTATCCACCCAATGGAGATGATCCTGACATAGCATTATCTGGAGCCCAGACTATAGGGTAGGTTGAGATACCTACCGCTCCAACAGCATGATTCTTTGTGGTATATTCATTTTGAAAGAATAAGTACACGTATATCTGTATAAATATGGCACTGAATCCCAAGATAAGAAGAGAAGACAAGTATCTGAGCTAAGATTTTGGCCTCAATGTCTGCCAAGATTTTTTTCTCTTTTTGCAAACTAGTTAATATTTTTCCATATTATTAGTGTAAAAATAGCAGTAACTTAGACAGACAGAATTCTAGAGCTGAATGTGATCTTAGAATACATTTTTTAAATGGTAATAACATCAATAATGGTAGATAATTGTGTGTCTACCAGGTGACAAGTACTTTTTTGAGTGGTTTCCATATGTTAGCTTATTTAATCTACACAGCAACTTACCATTACCGTTATTATCCTCCTTATACAGATGAGGAACGTGAAGTACAGAGAGTATAAGAACACTGTTGAGGAATGGGCTAGTAAGTGTCTGTGCCTGTGTTCAAATCCAGGTGGTCTGGTTCTATAGAGCCTGTACTTTAAAAAATACTTTTATTTTGAAATCATTATAGATTCATAGGTTACCAAAAAATACAGTGAGTTTGAAGTACCATTTACCAAGCTATCCCTATTGGCAAGCTCTTCAGAATGACAGTCACAGCCTATACTTTGCTATCCTGCCTTCTAAGGCACTTGTGTATCCGTCCTTCATTTCACAGGGGAAAGAACGGAGGCCTAGATGAGCTAATTTTTTTATTGATTATGACAGTTGCATCTCTTCCTTCATAATCTTGTTATGGTAAAGGGACTCCCTCAAATTACTGGAATTGTTGAAGACTTCTGCCAAGAATAGCTCATTCCTTTCTATTGCCAATTTTGTTCATATTGATTTCTTACACATTTAGCATTTTTTGTTTGTTTTCTGTTATCTGCTCAATGTAGATTTCTATTCTTCCTTTAATAGTTCATACTGACTCTTTTCTCAACCTATTTTCCATGACATTTTTTAAGTTAACATTATTTTCTTTAGTATTATTTGGGTTGTGAACATTTTACAGTTTTTTCTTTTTTTGGGAGAGATTTTGCTATAGGATGTGTGTACTTTCTGGAGAGAAAGCCAGAGAGCGAGAAATCACCCCCTAGTGTGGCTGGCCATGCTGCAATTCCATCCCCTCCATTCTCCTCTTGGGATTTTGGGTGGGCATGCATGCACACATGCCCAGTGTGAATTTTAAGCCTCTGGGTCTGGGACTCAAACCACAGTGGACTACCATTATGCCATCTGTTGGTCCCAGGTTTTTCTTTCTCTTTTCTTTTCTTTCTTTCTTTTTTTTTTTTAATCACTTAGAATAGCCAGAAATCATGGTTTACAATATAATTTTGAAATGAAGTGGGGTATCATCATCTTCCTCTATATTTAAATTTTTTAAAAAATGACTTTATTTATTTTTTTGGACCAGCAGGTGGCATAATGGTTGTCACTGGACTCCCACGTAGTCAACCATGGTTCGATTCCTGAACCTGGAGGCTTAAAACTCATACCAGGTACATGTGCTAGCATGCCCAAAATCCTGAGAGCAGAATGGAAGAGAAGAGATTGCAGTGTGCCCATTCCCCCCTGGGGGGTAATTTCTCACTTTCTGTCTCCCTGTTTCTCTGGTAAGCACATGTACCCTATAGCAAAAATCTCTATAAAAATTTTTTATTTATTAGTATTATATTTTTAAAAGTTGCTATAGGGCAGGTTTGCTCACCAGAGAGAGAGACAAAGAGAGGGAGAGAGAGAGAGAGAGAGGGAGAAAGTGAGAAAACAAGCCATTAGGTCCTAGGACTTGAAATACCGTAGGCCATGTGGGAGTCCCGCACCTTAACTGCCATGCCACCTGCTGGTCCCTCCTCTCTATTTTTTTATGTTTGTTAAACTAACACAAGGATGACTAAAAAAAGTGAAGAATAGTTTTAAGTAAATTTAAACTATTAAATACTTACTAGCAATTTCTATATAGATAAAGAGAAAGAAATATGATATACTGTCCTCAAAGAGCTTAAATATATGAAAAGTTAAATAATAGAGATGGTAAATAAGCAAGTTAATTGTCTAATCCAAGAACTCTCACCAGGCAGTGCATAGTTAATTTCTAATTTCATACTTACAAGTTTAGAAGTAGGAGTGACATTTGGAAGTCTGTGAGGAGCAGGAGTTTTTTGTTGTTTTGCTTTTTGTTTTTTGTTTTAAATTTGTTTATTTCCTGAGAAAGAGAGAGACAAAGAGATCCTCACACTATCAACAGGGTCTTCATTCTGCAGTGCTCCCTTGGCTGGCCTGAAGAGCAGGAGTTTAAACTATAGCTAGAATTATTTGAAAGTTATGAGAATAAGGAAGAAATTATTCCAGATGATGATAAAGGCACTAGAACTTGTATGAGATGAGACAATGCAAGACAAAATCATCTGAGGCTACTGAGAAAGCCATTATAGTCTCTAAGGAGTGGAACGATCATCAATACATGTTGTATGTTTGCTCTGCTGTGGGTTCTAATAAAGAGCGAAGCATTTGGGATTTTATGGATCATAGATATAAATCATATTTTTACTTTCTCTGTTCTTACCACCTAAGATCACCAGGCATAACTGAATATAGATGATATACGCACAGTAATTAATACTTACACCAATATATCTGAGAGAGAGAGAGAAAGAGGGAAAGTGAGAAAGCAAGTCACCAGTCTGGGACTTGAACTGCAGTTGGCCACATGGGAGTCTGCTGTCGCAACCACCATGGCACCTGCTGGTCTTGTGATTATTATCTTCTTTTAGTCTTATATACTTACAGAAATAAAGAATTTCCCCTAGTGACTTTTCATCAGAAGCAAACATCTGGACAGTGTAAAAGTTAGGTTATGAAATTCCCAAGATCAATTATCTTTTTTGTATACCTGAGTATGGTCAGCTTTTTGTTTCAAAGTAATTATTAAAAGTTAGGAAATTAAAATGCAGGATATGGCTCCTATATTTCCCTTGACAGTCTTGTTTTTCTGGTACTTTATTTCTTAGAACTTATTTTTCTTAAGAGAGATTTTTGCTTTGGGGCATGTACTCTCACCAGAGAGATAAAGACGGAGAGATAGAAAGTGAGAAATCACCCATGGCCATGCCACAATCCTTTCTCCTTCATTCTTCTCTTGAGATTTTGGTCATGCACGCATGCATGCTCGCCCAGGGTGAGTTTTTTGTTGTTGTTGTTGTCAATAAGAAATTTACTTGTTTTTTAAAAATTAAAATGCTGGCATTGTCCAGAAAAATTTAACAGGTTTATTTATAGTTGTTATAAAATTGAACTGCTGAGACTTTTTCACCAAAACATTTTGACTTGCATTAATGCCTTACACCCCTACATTTATATTAAATATCTACACAAATGAAAAATGGAGAAACTGCTAACACTTGATTTCTGTCCCCTATTTTTTTTGGGGGGGGGAGGAGAGGTTTTTGCTATAGGGCGTGTGCTCTTGCCAGACAGACAGACAGACAGAGAGACAGAAACAGAGAGGCAGAAAGTGAGAAATCACCCCCCTACGGGGGATGGCCACGCCGCTCCTCCATTCTCCTCTCGGGATCTTGGGCATGCACGCACATGCGCCCGGAGTGAGTTTTAAG